CTACTAACTAAGTAACGTAACTACTACTTACTACTACTACCTACTACTATAGTAGTAGTCGTACTACTACTTCTTCTTACTTACTTCTTCTTCGTTCTTCTTCCTACTCTCTCTCTCTCTCTCTCTCTCTCTCTCTCTCTCTCTCTCTCTCCCCCCCCTTGCTCTTAACCATCCCCTCTCACTAGCCCTCTCTCTTTAGTTGAGTGCATTCTCTAAGTCCTTTCTCTTTCTATATATGCTCATTCTCTCTCTAATATATTTCCCCCTCATTTCTCTCTCTAACAGTGACATTTCCCTCTCCAACTCTCTCTAACCAATATTCAAAAAGGCGGATGCAGCCGCTCAAGCAGCCGTAAGGAAGGGGGTTGGGGTGGGGCCCATATGTTTTTTATGTGTGTGGTTTGTGAATGTGCGTGTATATGTTTAGTGTATGTATGTGCATGTGCACGTATGTGTGTGTCTGAGGTCTCGCATGAATTTCTTAAAGATCATCTTCTTATTTTCTTTTTCTTTTTTTCTTTCGGATCTGTATTTGTGAGAGAGAGGTCTCGAACACTTGGAGGATATGTTGTGTTAGAGACAGAGACCGCGCATCGAACACTTGGAGATCATCTTCTTCTTCTTTTTTTGATAAACGTTAACATTTGTATTGCTATAAAGAGATGGAGTACAGTTTTGGGCTAATCCGAGAGTACCCACTAGACAGGACTCTCGGTAAAAAATAGGTCAACAAACCCTGTACAAAAAATGGGCTTATAAGGTTGCCTCCTTACAATGGGTTTACAATGAGTTTACAAAAAATGGGCTTATATGGTTGCCCATTTTCTTCTTACATGTAACGAGGGAGTATATGGGTCCATGTGTATTTTGATGGGTCATCTTCTTCTTACATGTAAAGAGGGAGCATATGGGTCCATGTGTATCTTGGTGGGTCTATGTGTGTGTATCTTGGTGGGTCTATGTGTGTGTATGAGAGGGAAAGAGAGGTCGCAGCTCGAACACTTGGAATCCATCTTCTTCTTCTTGTTCTTCTTCTTCTTCTTCTTCTTCTTATGTAGAGAGACCACATGGACCCTAGAGTGAGAGAGAGAGAAGGGCAATATAAGTTCTTAATTTTGTTTGAGTGGATTTGAATTTCTTTGTTTGTTTTTACGAGGGATGGCACTAGGAGGGTGCCCAGACCACTTAGGCACTTGCCTTGAGCCCGCCTAGGCGGTCAAGGCGCCTAGGCACGCCCGCCCAGACCCCACTGCCTAGGCTACACCTAGGTGGTTTGTCAGCCATGCTGCCTAGGCGGCCAGGCAGCCGACTTTTTCTTCACTGTCTCTAACCATGCCCTTTCTCTCTAGTCATGCCTTTTCAGTCACTCAAAATCCTCACTTTAACCATGCTTTTTCTCTCTCTTGCTCTCTAAGTCCTTTCTCTCTAACCATGCCCTTTATTCACTAACTTCTGTCTCTAACAATGTTGTTTCTCTCTATAACTTCTCTTTCTAATTTCTATCCTTTCTCCCAAAGTCCGCTCGCTCTCTAATTGTGCTCTTTCTCTAACTCCTTTCTCTCTATCTCATTTCTCTCTCTAATCATGTTATTTTTTCTCTACAAGTCCACTCTCTCTAACTGTTCTCTTTGCCGCTCTAACTCCTTCCTCTCTTTAAATGTGTTCTCTCTCTAACCATGTCTTTTTCCCCTTAGTCCCCTCTCTCTCTCTCT